AGTCGCTGGTGGGCATTATAATTATTTTCAAGTATTGGTTTTGTGGGGAATTATTTTTTTGATTGGGTGAAGGATTTCATGAAGAAGTGACATCAGTTGAAATACTCCAATCAATCTAACGAAATCCCCTATAAAACCAATACAGCTGTATCTTCCAAAATTAGGCAAGTTTACAAAAAATTAACTGCCGAACAATCTCTGTTGCTACATTAAAAGTAAATAAATACTCTTTAGAACAGAAATAATCACAAAATACTGATCTGAAACGCATCCCAGCTGTTTTTCTGTAACTCTCTGATTCGATTCCAAAAGATTTGAACTTTAACTATATCGCCTATCAGAAAAAGGAATGGTCATAACGTATTACAATAGCCGAAAATTACTCAAAGTCATATAACAACTGCTTATAGAATGATGCCACATATCAAGTAATCCACAACAGAAAACACACAGAGGCCTCTAAAGTAGTAGAACAAGGCTTCCTATTATCACCGATGATATTCTTCATCAAGGTGGACTGGATCATGAGGGAGACGGTGACGAGACGGGGGACCAAGAACACAGGAATATGTTGAACCGATAAGAAGACTCTAGAAGACATGTCCACATCGTGGGTGACTTTTGTCGTCTAGTGTCACACAAACTCGAAGACTCACAGACGAAAATCAAGAGGTTGTTAGAATCGGCCGCGAGAAAAGACAGGACTTCAAATGGATATAGAGAAAACGGTGGTGGTGAGGACATCCACCGACCAACAGCAACAACGACAAACAACAACAAGCACAAATCACTGTCTGCGCGACAAGTCTACAGGAAGTCACTCTCCACTTAGATGGGCGTCATCGTCTCAACTACAGGTGATATAGATGAGGAAGTCAAAGCCAACGAGGACTGGAGAAGCAAGACAGACATTCACTAATCTGAAACCAGGCTGGAAATCTGATGCACTCAGCAAGACTCGACTTTTCAACATCAGTATTAGGTCAGTCAGTTCTTCTTCTATGTGGATCAGAGACATGGATTGCGAGTCACGTAAAGCATTTTCCACAGTCTTCAAACTCTCATCAACAGCTTCCTTCACAACCTCCATATTGAAGACCAGATGGCGATCGAGGGAGGACTGGCGACGAGGGACTCTGACGACAAACAGTCATCCGACAGACTATTGACCGAATCGAATGCTGGGGAAGACGAAGGTGGATTGGACACACACTGAGGAGACAGTTGAGTGACAACGCGCGGAACGTAGGTGATCGCTCGAGTGGAACTCAAATGGGAATCGGCGAACTGAGCATCTGGGGATGACATGGAGGCGATCGTGTGAGGAGGAGATGGTAGTTTATGGGAAATCGTGGAGTCACCTGTCGAGGACTACAAGGAACAAGATAAAGTGCAGATGTGTATTTCCAGGCCTGTGTTTCGTTTGAATTCCGAGCTATTAATAATACCAATAATTATAACAATCAGTTCTTCAGATTCAAACGCTGATTCCCAGTTTGAAAATCTCTATGATCACTTGATTTCTCTAGTGTCTCTCTCGACAGAAACATAAAGTCGACTGGAGGCTTAATTACTCAATATTGACCCATCCACTCAGTTATCCAGGTTGCAGACTAAAACAACAAACATTTCGATTCTGTTGCATTTCAGAGCTTTGAAGGAACTAAATAGGACGTCTGACGTAATTAATTACCTTGAAACCTGACATCGGATCAGGTTTAGTTGCACTGGATAAGTATCACTATGAGACATGGTGATTTCGTGTAATCTCGCGTAGTTGTATGCTGGTCGTACTATACAACTCACTCTATTTTTTAAGGACAATGTAGTGCATGATAAATAATCTTCAGATGAACTCGAATTCACAGTCAGTATTCATTGGTGGATTTCAATAAATGCAATAAATAATCTTAAGAAAAGTTTATTTCGTTTTTAATTATTAGACAGAATAAAACGTGTCAAAAATTATCATTAACACATGATTGACTTGAATGATAAATAATCTGCACTCAGTGAAGTCTAGACGTGATTCGATTACGAGAGATGAGATTGACTAAATCATGACAATTTTAGATACAGTTGAAATGATTGCAAAGGCCTAATTCAGATCAGTCTAATAATCATGACGAGTATAAGTAGTTGAGAAGTGACACTGTGAAATTTATTTAGCGCTGAAATATATGTGATTTAGTGGATGAAATCTTCGCGATTGATTGAGACAGGAGCATATTGGTTATGACAAAATTCTCAATTGTTTTTTCTTCATTGTTATGCCTTTCAGTGCAGTGCCATGCCCTAGCAAACTATAATGTTAGCTAGGAGAATTAATGGTAATAATCGCGGTTCTCAGTATAAACTTGGTATTGAAATCATACCAGCAGCGTCATAGAAGGGCCAATGAAAGGATGAAGCAAGGGCTTATAAACTGAAGTGGCAACTAAGATTTAAGTACTGTCATTCTGAGGTGGTGTGACCTGATTGAATTCTTAGAGGTCTAAATATTCACCTATCATGATGCTGGCAGATATTTAAGTTAAAAATAGCTTCGAAGTGAAATAATTAAAACAGTGGTACCCTACGCTAACATTTATGTCTGATAGACTTATAGATAGACCGCATGGTTAACTTTTTTGATGGTTTTTATTAGTGGAATTCCGAATTCGAGTTTCGTCCTACTTAAAACTCGCCTGTATACTATTATGTTTCCACTAAGACTCGAACCGAAATACTTGTGGTTTACTGGAAGTCTGTAATATGGGACACGTTGAGTGCATCATATTCCGTAGAAGAATAGCTGAAAGAATAATAAGATTTATGTATGCAAACATGTAAACTATAGATAACGTGACTAAGTCAAAGTGTGCTGAGAGCTAGCTGCAAGAATAAAATTGTAGGCAGCAATTTATGTCAGTGTTACGTCCCGAATCGGGGTCATGAGAAAAAAAAACACTAACGAAGCCTAACCATGAGGAACTCAACAAGCAATCACAGCAGACTTAGCGTGTGCAACTACGATTTGCACATATATTGATAACTTCCCAGGAAATGGTCTCAAGCAGTACAGAATAACCTTCAGCAAGAAAACAACCAATCAGAAGACGTTACCTCTCTGCTAACAATAACGAATAATAATGTACATAAAAATCTATAAATATCTGTGTATTTTCTCAATAAGCGATCTGTTGCCTGGCCCTTGTCTTCTGTTGTTACAAAAGTATTCTGAGAAAAGAAAAGAAAGACACGAGGGGATTCTTTCAAACAGGATACAAGGTCACAGCGGAAAATGTGTGACATCATAGTGGAATGAAGATTAATAGCATCTGAACTAAAAAGTAGTAATACGGATGGCTGTTTGTCCCAAACTTCTACAATTGCTGCCTTTTATAATATTTGGTACTATGGATGTTTAGCAGTTTACTGATGTTAGACACATATTCGCCACTGATCATCTTGACAAAAACAATAAGAAGAAGCAACTCACCTGAATAATGTAATGTATTTGCGTAACACATTCTGGGAGTTTTGATCACACATACATGTTTTTGATACATATATTTCTATCAAAGTTAATAGACTATAAAGGATGAAAATTAAATGCATAAAGATCGCAGATGACACAATGGTAAAAAAAAACAAAGGTGTGGAAATATTGTTACATAAAACAGAGCTTGGTTTCAAAAATCGGTTACCAGATTAGGTTCAAAGTAATAATAAATAATTATTGAACACATAAAAAACACATTTACGCCTCTTTATGGCTAGGGCTTCAACAAAATCAAGCATATTACCGAAACGTGTTTTATATATGGGTCCAAAGGCACTACACTGAAATTACCTTTATGTCCCGTCTGCGTAGTATGATTTGACATAGATGAGGTTGGACGTCTATTTCTGGGGTCAGTCGAATTAGGCTGTTTTGTTTGTTTCCACAGACACCTAGGAATGTGTTCTGCAACCTGAACCAACAGATATCTATGGTTCCTCCTTTATGTACATGTGACCACATATACATGTTAATAGACAAACACAATAGGGCGTGAGACTGTGCAGGTTTACAGATTGACACAAATTTCGTTTGCTCTATGAAAATAAGTTTGGCTGCATATAGAAAGTTCCATTTAGTGCCTTTTTGAGTTTTTGTTTAGTGATTGGACTTTGGTCATCACCTTTGAACGGTCAATCTATAAAAACGTCATTCTTGAAGGGCTGATTGAATTAGTGGAAATCTTTGTTTTACGCTTCTATAAAGTTTAATGGATATCCAAGGATGGTTATTATCTATTAATGTATTAGTAAGATTTTGAATTCCTTCTTTAATGACACATCTTTTTATACCACAGCAAAGAGAAATATCAAAAAATTCAGACACTTATTTGAAATATAAAATTTATAGTTATTCACTACAGTTAAAACTAATATTAAAAGACACTCTTATCGATTCAAAATTAAACATGAATGCATATTCTGAAAACGAATACTGATACAATGTGTAGGTATACTGAAGATCAACAAACCCCTGAAAACTCGTAGATGCCACGTAAAAATAAGAGTCAAGATGAAAATAAAGCCATTTAGAATTTGTTCAACAAATTCTCACAGAAATTAAAAATTCAAGTAACTAGAAGATGAATTTGCATAGCAAAGGTAAACGTCGGAGGAACATTAACCTCTTGGTCGAAAAAGGTGGGTGTGATTCGAAAAGAAACTGAACATCAACGAAATGAAACAATATTAGATTGATGGAAATCAATCATGCTATGCGCATATAGTCAATTAATTAGTAATTTGAAAACATATATATGTTAGGTGTATTCTCAATTGCTGACATTTAAAATATAAGTTCAACTGAGATTTACCGGAGGGATCAAGAAAACTAAAGATATAAGAGGGTCTGAATGAAGAAAACTTAGATTTCCATAGCTGATGAAGTTGGACAGGAATTAAACAAGTTAAAGGCACATAAGACACAAACTGAGTGGTCTGACGTCGCTGAACAGGAATCAGGCACGTACGATACAGAAAAGAGTTTGAATGACTAGATAAAGCTGGACTGACAGGAAATTGTTGTCCGTATAACCAGGATGAACCGGATATGAGGACGCAGTCATCGAGCCTAATATCTGACCATCAGTTGACGAAATTATATGAGACTGCCCATGAAGAGAAATTCCACTGAACTTCTGACCACTTGTCGATGTAACCGACAAACCAGAATGCGAGAAGCCAACGGTATTCTGACCAGCATCTGGTGATGACGATTGCTGTGGCTGATTATACTGCTGAAGACCACTGGAACTCTGACCAGTTGATGATCCTGGCGACGCTGACTGACCAGCTGGGAGAAAGCCACTGGAACTCTGACCAGCATCTGGTGATGACGATTGCTGTGGCTGATTATACTGCTGAAGACCACTGGAACTCTGACCACGGGATGTTGAGGAAGACGGTGAAGGACGGCTGTAACTCTGGCCACTCGACGACTCTGCTGACTGTGTCTGATTATACTGCTGAAGACCATTGGAACTTTGACCAGTTGATGATCCTGGCGACGCTGACTGACCAGCTGGGAGAAAGCCACTGGAACTCTGACCAGCATCTGGTGATGACGATTGCTGTGGCTGATTATACTGCTGAGGACCACTGGAACTCTGACCAGTTGATGATCCTGGCGACGCTGACTGACCAGCTGGGAGAAAGCCACTGGAACTCTGACCAGCATCTGGTGATGACGATTGCTGTGGCTGATTATACTGCTGAAGACCACTGGAACTCTGACCACGGGATGTTGAGGAAGACGGTGAAGGACGGCTGTAACTCTGGCCACTCGACGACTCTGCTGACTGTGTCTGATTATACTGCTGAAGACCATTGGAACTTTGACCAGTTGATGATCCTGGCGACGCTGACTGACCAGCTGGGAGAAAGCCACTGGAACTCTGACCAGCATCTGGTGATGACGATTGCTGTGGCTGATTATACTGCTGAGGACCACTGGAACTCTGACCAGTTGATGATCCTGGCGACGCTGACTGACCAGCTGGGAGAAAGCCACTGGAACTCTGACCAGCATCTGGTGATGACGATTGCTGTGGCTGATTATACTGCTGAAGAGCACTGGCGCTTTTATCAGGTAGTGCTTTTTTTTGTGTCTTGTCCAGAGGTAAATGATCATTTTCAGTGTTTGTTGGAATAGATGTAGGCAGTTTTTTAGAACTCTGGTTTGCAGTTGAATGTGGTAATTCCCACTGTGGATATTTTTTTGTCCTGCTTGAAGTTTGACTATCTATTGAGAAGGATAACATTGATTGATTGTTGGGTGGAAATACGTGTGAATTGTGACTGTCGTTAAGTTGTAATAATTCTGACGAATCTGCTTGCATTTTTTCTATGTTTGCATCGTACATCTTCGAGTTAGATTCCGAAGCTCCCAAATCTTTATCTTTTTTATGAGGTTGGCTCTGACTTCCGGATATAACATTTTGGATTTGCACTTGATGTATCTTTGAATTGTCACCATACGTATGAGTTTGGGCTTGATACTGAATTTGTGCTGATTCTCCATATTTCATAACAATATATTTCAAAATATCATCAAGTTTATCATCATCATTATCTTGTCCATTTCCAACTGATTGGTTCAACTGTGGAACTCTGCTTTGTAATATCATAGAATTAACAAAATTGAATGATGTGATAACAAACACAAGTATTTTAAGTGTTAACATTTTGGTTTGAAATACAGTGTCTTATATTTGAAGAATGACTTATTGAAATACTGATCAATATTGGCGAGTGACTAAAAGGCTATTTATATGTGTCTTTATGCTTCAATGATCCAAACATATCAAAATATACATAAACAAGTTTGTCATTCAACTGATACCTTAGAAAACGATGATCTGTTCAGACATACACCAACTAAGTCACGTTTACATTAATAAAAGAGATATTGTAACAACAGAAGACAAGGGCCAGGCAACAGATCGTTTTATTATGAAAATCAACACGTATTTATACATATTTCACATACATTATTATAGCTTATGCAAGTAGACAAGCGCAGTCATCTGATTGGTTGTTTCGGGATTCCTCGACAAATAGAGTTCTCTATCTGCGAATCATATTTTGCCACGTTAACTTTGCTGTGATTGGTTGTTGAATCAGCCTTGCTCATATTTTCTCACGGCCTGCTCTCACCACACTTGTCCCCCCGTCAAATACGTGCGACTGAAGTCGGCTTGATCTACTTGGTGCAGGCGTCATCGTTGGCTTGTCTCGCTGTATCCATTTCTGGAGCTCGCTGACGTTCACGCGCCTCTCATTGTTCATCATTGCGATTGTGTCCACGTAATCCCATCTCGAAGTGACCATATGTGGTCCTTCCCACTTTGGAAACTGTTTGCCTGACCCTGTCGAACATTCGTCAGTATTTCGTCTCACACTTTCATATGCTGCTTTCACCCGACCTCTTAGCAGCGTCCCAAGTAGCAGCTCCATCGCTGACAGATCTTGAACGCCACTCAACTGCGCAGAAGCCTTGAAGTCCTGCCCGAAGATCCATATGTCTCCATCAAAAACAGCAGGGCATAGGCTTTCCATTTGTCGGTAGGCAGCGACACCAAATGTAACAACAGAAGACAAGGGATTGGTTGTTGAATCAGCCTTGCTCATATTTTCTCACGGCCTGCTCTCACCACAATATGACCATTTAGCGTGTTAGTTAAAAAATAATAATAATTTATAATATACATTAACTAATGAACAGTTCTCGGTCTTATTTTCTTCCAGTGTCAGCACTGATCAATATTTTACTACTGAGCCGTATCATATAACCAATAACAAAATGCATGAATTCGTATCATTTTGCAATATCGATTTGGCGATTTATGGAACGTCGTGAACTCAGATTCCCCGTTACTACGTTTTCATTGGCAAAGTTTAGTTACAACTAGCACAGGAAGTTGCATTAATGATGAATTTCACGGTTCATTTATCAATACAATGAAATATACTTTACTATTAAATAGATGTTTAGTATCAGCGAGCCAATGCCAGACTTCGTTAGGTCAGATTGTTTTTGTGCAGTTGGACTAAGCACTGCTAGAGTGGTGATTGATTGGATTGCTGTTATTGTCGCACTATTGTAGAAAAGCTTTGGAATAAATCTCTTATAATCATTCATTTGTGAATGACTGTAACTCCTGGATCTAGAAGTCTGTTATTACTTACTTCTTTCAGACGAAATCAACTTCGTCAAATATGCAGATGACCTGACTGTTTCGCTTCCCGTTAAGTCTCAATCAGACTGTTTCAAATTAAAAAGCTTTCTGTCGGACATCAGTCAGTGGTCTAAACTAAATGGCCTCATGCTGAATCCCTCAAAATGAAGGACTATTGACTTCTCCTTTAGGCATAAACGAGATCTACAAACACTAGTAAGTACTCATGATGCCTGTAGCATTGAGGGGACTAAAATTGAAACTAAGTCTAATGCGAAATACCTCGGAATAGTTCTATCTTCCGACTTTACTTGGTCATCTCATATCCTAACGATTTCTAAGAAAGTGTTCCGTCTGACCTACTACATAAAGAAACTCAGACTATCTGGAATCACCCAACATCTACTTGCACAGTTTGTCAACTCTCGTATCTTACCTATTCTACTTTACTGCTCCCCGTTAATCTTTCCGGGGCTACTGAAAAAGAACTGTACCATGCTGAGAAGGATGTTGAAGGTAGTTAGTAGGACTAGCGCTGTAAAACTCAGTCAGCCCGTCACTACATTAGTGGATAAGCATCTGAATACATGCGAGAAATGGTCTAAAACAATACTCTCTGACCCCCAGCATCCTCTCCTCTCTCTCCTTGCATCTCATCAGGTAGAACCAGAAATCAGTACAAAATAATATATGCTCGTACAACCAAGTATAGGAACTCAACGATACCATATTTGGCCCGTGTTCTATGTGGCAGAGATAATATTAAGCGCCAAACCTATGACTTGCTTTGTTGTTAATAACATAATTTTGGCTGTTTTATTTCTCTCTTATTTGTACTCTATAGTGAACAGCCTTCTTAAACATACTTAGCCACCTAAATTATTAACATTGGCTTACTTTTTTATACTTTATTCTATTCCTTCTTTTGTGTATCTACTGGCTCCGACTATATTAGCACTATGAGGATTACAAAATTGTCCTGTCATTAACCATCACGTAATGTTAGTTTTGTGATTGTTGTGTTTTTTTCGGCAATATTAACCGACAGTCTTGGTTGTGAACGCCATTATCACCATCTTAAAGTTTTTTGCATTATGTATGATTACTCACACTACCACTACAAACACCACATTAGAGCTGACAATAAAAACCCCCTGAAACGTTTATTTTATGATTGTTTAGTGTTGTTCAATCAAATTGACTGATCATCTTGGCGATAAAAATTCTTAATATCATTTCATAGCTTCTTGTTTGATTATAGCTTTTACTGTTCACCACGCATAAACATATCATAGCTTCCACTACCCAATACTGAAATATTATTTATTATGTTGTTTATTTTCCTTTCTACTTTTTGGTCCTTTTTTCATTTTTTTTGTTATTTGTGTTTTTTTTTGGTTTTTTTTTAATGTCCATTTTTTGAAATACTCCTTTTAAATGTGCGATGAAATAAGATGCAATATTGTAGATATGTGCTGAAAATTCCACACTGTACCATTAGTACTGTTTCTCGAATAAAGCAAATCATTATTATTATTAATATCAATATTATTATTATTATTGGTGAACATTATTGCTTGAAACAGTTGAAATGGAAAGTAATTTGGATATTTGGTGTTTACCTGATATTTGTGCTCCTTTTCAAATATGAAGTGACTCTAATCTGAGTAGAAATTCCCTGAAGTCTGTCGAGGAATTTCTGAATATAATAATAACAACGTTTGTTTAGGTGTGGTAATGCATTTGACGCATCAGACTGAAGAAACAACCATTGAAAATTTTGTTGTAACCAACATCAAGTTGTCTTACTTAACGCGAAGTAGATTACATTTGAGTAATAAATGAGTTTTACAGTGTTAAATCCAAAAGGTTTATGATGGTTATAATTACTTGATTATGCAGAACAAAAGTGTAACATTTACACTTATTGTTAGAGTAAATAAAAATTCAAGTACTGGTGATTATTTAGCCTTATTTCTTTAATGAAGTTATCTAAGTTAGTGGTGATTGTTTTACACACGGCAATTTGGTTTTTATTTTGCTGACAGGAATTGATTATCATGCGCTTCTTACTCCTATAGACAAACACACAAAAGAAAAAAATAAAACAATTCTTCCAATGACTTCTCGTTGAGATGTTGTCTATCGAATATGGCCATTCGATACCTGTATAATAAATGTTTTTGTATTTCCCAATGAATGAAAAACAAAACGATATTGTTTTTACTGACGTTTCGCTATTTAATGTCAATAGCTTTGTCAAAGTATTATTAAACCGGAATTTACAAAATCTCAGTATATATATAACAAAGTTAAGGGCCAGTCGTAGTTTTTCAGAAGCAAGTCGTCATGTTTTGGATGTCATGGTTTCCCCCGGGGTTGTGGTGTGATGCACAGCATTGCTGGTTATGCACGGTAGGTCGTTAGACCGACATTCATGTTCCGGGTACTTATCAACAATCGACTGGAATGTTGGATCAAAGATTGCCTTCTTCTTAACGAGTGACAAGCAGGGACCTACGTAGGTGATGCCTCTAACAGACAGTCCAGTGGCACTGTCTATCAGTCGTTTACGGCAGACATCTGTGGAGTACGTACCAATATGATTGTACGCTTTTAGTTACTTGTAGAAATTAGAGACATTGTAAATGATTTTTGTTTAAGACGATTCTTGTTTCGGTGGCACAGTGGTTAGGACTCTCGCCGACCATGCATATAGTCCGAGGTTCAAACCCCTGCCAACGTACACCTGATATCTATGGTTGGCATGCAAAATTAGGGCTACCGATATCCATGCTGAAAATTCCATACTTGCACGAAAAATACAGTGTGGAATCAAGCGGTAATCAAAAATAATAAATAAATAAAAATAAATATATATAACTTCCGTGTACAATTGGAAATACACTTTACTGCCGGAAACTTCGTCTTCTCCCTGGCCATTTCTGCTTACTTGCTCCACTCATACCGTGTTGTATACTTTGGATTTATTGCAGGAGTCTATTATCCTCATCCGAAGACAACTCTACAACCGGTCCACAGAATCTACCAGCAGACGCATTCCAACAGTGAACGCTCCCTTGGATTATATTGGTAATTTGTAGCCGCGGACTTTAACGTTATAACCAAGTAACCTTTTCATTAATATAACACATTACTGCATTTTTTGATAATATATATTTACCCTATTATCTCATTAACTTGGATTTTTATTTGCATATTTGTAATGTTAATGAGCTCTCCTAATAGTCCCCTACAATTTAATTGGCGAGCCCGTTTAGGACGAGGATTATTTTGATATATTCATATTCTTGTTTTTGCCATTTTGTATATCCATTGTCGTTTTGTGTGTGGTCGTATATTTGTATCCCATTTTGCACCAACATTCGCATATCTATAATTTCGTCACCTTAGCCCGGTACATCAACCGAGGAGAGCACTAGTAGCGAGACAAATGCCACAATAAATGTCATCACTGATTTCCGTTTACCGCAATACGGTTTCGC